TTAGGGAATTCTTAAAAATTATAAGAAATTAAAGGAGTTATTAAAATTTTTTATAAATTAAAAATATTAATTTTTAAATAGAATATAAATTATTTCTTTATTTGAATATTAAATTCTTTTGAAAAAATACATCAAAACAGTCAAAAAAATTATTAAAAATTTATTATAATGATTTTTTTAATATTGATAAATAATATTTATAATAGCATAAAACTAATTAATACATCCTCTGATTCTGGTGTAGATTCAGATTCTCAAATAACAATAAGGGAAGAACCAATTTTTATCCCTAGGAAACCACCTATAAAATTAAAATGTAAGAAATTAAGTTTTATACTCATTGCTGCATCAATATTATTCTATTAATAATTTTAATTCATCTTTTTATAAATCCTAAAAAATACATACAATGAATATTAAAGTAATTTTTCTAATAAAATGTTTATGTTTTATACTACCTTTATTTTTAAAATTTTACTTCATTGATGTAATATTTTTATACTATTAAAATTTCAATATTCTAAATTAAAAACACCTTCTTTTAATTTTTATTTGTTTAAAACTAAGTTATTTATTAAAACATAGATTGTTTTTATTGTAAATTTTCTAAATATTGATAATAATAAAATGAATAGTTATAGAAATTATAAATTATTATTATTTATGTTATAAAGTGTTGGTGTAATATTGGTTTTAATAACATTATTTAATTTATAATAAGTTATGGTTTTATTAATTTAAATGTTTTAAAGGAAATTAAAAGTCATACATCAAAAAGATGTCAAACAATAAAAAATTAAATCAATAAAGTGAATTATAATAAGAAAATATATAATAAACATAGAATTTTTTTGTTTTTTTTAATCAAAAATCTCAAACATTTTGTTAAATTTAATAACATCAATTACTTTAATTATGAAATAAAACTATTTAAAACTTGTTTAAAAATTATTTTATAAATGATGCATAAATATAGATAAATAAACTGTTTTTCAGATAAATCTAAATGTTTTTAAAATATAATTTTATTCTTTAAATTATAATTTGGTGTTATTATATTTTCCGTAATTTTTGTAATTTTATTTAAATCTAGAATTTTTTATAAAAAATTAAAGACTAAAATAATAAATCAAATGTCAATCAATACTTTTAATAAAAACCAAAAAATACAAATCAAACCAAACCAACATTCTTTAAAATCAAAAAATTCCTTTTTTCAAAAATTAATTTTTAAGTTTTTTAAATATTTAAATAAAAATAATTTAAAACCCCTATTTAAATGATGTTAAAGATTTCTAACTTAATATTTTTAATTTTAACAACAGTCAATATCATTACTGCAAGTTCCATTAGTAACGCTACAATAAAAAATTTTATCAATGGAACATTTCCTGGTGATGAAAACAGCTCTTATTTAACTATTATTGAAGTAATATTTATCATTTGCTTTGTACTATGGGCTTTATGCTTATTTATTTCGATTTTAACTACAAATATGAAATAAGATGAAATAAAGTTTTTTAAAACACTTTTTACAATAACAGTGATTTTTATTAATTTATATTTAAAAACTAAATGGTTTTTACTGAATTAGTAGACAATTTTTAAATATATAAACTTTATCAATTTCTATGAGTTTATTTGAATACAATGAATTTGTTGCAACAATTTAAGAAAATAAAATTTATTTTATTATAATTTCTTTTAAAATATAAAACTCAATTTTTAAATAACTTTAAAAATTTTTAAAGTCATTTAAATTAAAATATTCGATTTTTAAATTTGCTAATTAAAATATTTTAAATGTATTT